CAAACCCTCTGAACATTTTCAAAGGCCCTGCAGCTTGCTGAAGTCCAATTACCAGCCCACTGGCTTTTCTTCCCAATTTCCCTCCTTGCATCCTCCTGCTCCCTAGCCTGTTTCATCTCCAAAACTGAGTGCTGCCAAGGCTCTGTGAAGGAGCAGATAACCATTCAGGCAGGGCTTTCTTTGGGAAGGAGCTCTCCCCCACGTCCAGAGCTGCATGAATGACCCCCAGTGCTTACATCTTGGTTGGACATGTCCCAGTAGGGCCTCTCCCCAAACGACATCACCTCCCACATGACGATGCCGTAGCTCCAGACATCACTGGCCGAGGTGAACTTGCGGTAGGCAATGGCCTCCGGTGCTGTCCATCTGACAGGGATCTTTCCCCCCTAAGGAAAAAGGGAGAGCAGCTGAGAAACAGCTTCCTTGTCAGAGAAGCCCGGACACCCGAGAGTCAGGGTTGGAACCATCCCACACAGCCCCGGCTGCCAATCCCTGGGGATGCCACTGAGGAGTGGGCTGGTGGTACCCGATGTGACGAGGAGGCAGGAGCCAAAAACATGTCCATGAATGTATCTTGTACCTGCACAAAAGGGCTTCACTAAACAAAACAAAATGGTTTATCCCACTGAGGTGTGACCCCTGACTGCCACCCTCCCCACTCTGAATGCCCTGCAGGACCCAGCACATCAGTAGCCTGTCCCCAGGTCCCTTCTCAGGGAAACATCAGGTGACAAGGGCTATATGCAGGACTGCACTAGCACTTATCTTAGGTGAAGAAGCTGCAGGTATCTCCTTGCATCTGCCTTCAATGGGAACAAGGTCTAACCTAAAAGCATCTTCTTCAGCATCATCTGGGCTCTCACAGATGCTGGAAGGTCCTTCTAGCCCCACTATTTTTGGAGTGGGAGGCAAATGGGAAAACACATTTAAGCCCCAAAGGAGACTCAAAAAGCATTAAAATGGGAATGGGCCTTTGACACCAAGCCCCTCATTTCTCCTAAAAGCTCAAAATCAGTGTCTCAGCATCTCAAGCCATCCCCATCAGCAGGACAGGAAGGGCTGGAGGCCATGCCAAGGAGGCAGGGATGCTACAGAGGGACAGCATGTACAGAGGGACTGCCCCAACAGCAAGCACCCCTGAAATAACAGCAAAACCAGCCAAGGGATGAAGGAAAACCACAGACAGGTCCGGTATTTACTCTGGGCAGAACCGCACAGTAAAGCATTCAGTGCAATTGTTTTGCGTAGGCTTTCTGCCGAAGTGTCAGCTGCTCTTGAAAGATGAATGGCAAAAAATGTGATTTGAATAACTACAAATGGAGAAATTAACTGCTAGGTTGTTTTTCCTGCCTTTTCCCCAGAGCTAAAAACCTGCTGTGGGAGGCAGAGTGATGTAATCGCAGGCACAGCATCACTTCCCAGCTGCCGGGGAGATCTATTATGGCCTAAATTAAATAAAAACACAGATGAGATAATCTCTTTGATATCTAAAGGTGGCAGAAAGGCTACTTCATAGCTCATCCCAGCAGCTACTGCTGGGGTCTTTGAACAAAATAAATACTGGGTGTCTGCTCCAGGTCTGGGTAGTGTGGAGGACAGGTCCAGGGTTGGGAGGAGCATCCCACGAGCAGGGGATGAAGAGCAAGGGGCTGCAATTGGGCCGAAACACAGAGTCAGCCTCAAAGACATGTCCAAGGGTTTCCCACTTCGGAGGCTGGCGCCCAAGAAACTGCTTCTACAGGACTCAGTGCTGCTTTGTGCTTGCACCCTGTGCACAGTCTTTTAATTAATCAATTAGATGAGGCCAAGGGGTTGCTCATTCCCTTCTCCTCTAATCATCCTTAACGCCACTAAGGGTCTCACGAGCTCAATGGCCAGAGAATGGCCATGGTGGGGAGCTGGGTGTCCCCTCGGGTGGCAGGGAGCAAAGGGAGAGTGGGGCTGCCATTACCTACAAATGAGTTGATTAAGGATGAGAAGGGTGGCTGGGGAACAGCAGAACTCCCATTAGGCTTGACTCTTTAATTAATGTTTGGAACGAGTTTCCAGCAGAGAAAGGCAGACCAGGCCTGGAGCACTGGGGAGTTAAAATGTCATCTCTGTACCATTGGGAGATGCTGTGATCTCCCTTCCTGTCTCTGCAGTGACTCCTCCATGCAACTTGCCTCCATGAAGGAGAAGGAAGAGGCTTATCTGGAAACCGCCAAAGGCAGAAAGGTGATTGGAGGAGGAGTGATGTAAAAAATATAAAGGGAGGAAGAGAAAAGAGGCAAAAGAAGATGATGGGTGGGAACCACAGCCAGGGGCTCTAGGCCACAAGCCTATGTGGTGGGAACCCTCCTGAGATGTTCCCACCCATGGTAGAATCTCTGGAGCACACATCCAGTGTCATTCTCCCAAGTCCAGCTGGCAGCAGATGCAGGGCAGGCATTGGGGATGCTGGGCAAGACAAAACCTCGCAAGGTACATACCAAAGAACTGGTGTAGGTGGGGTCAGACGTATCGTCCTGCAAATAGCGTGACAGGCCAAAGTCAGACACTTTGCACACCAGGTTGCTGTTGACCAGGATGTTCCTGGCAGCCAGATCTCGGTGCACATAATTCATCTCTGCGAGGTACTTCATCCCAGCAGCAATTCCTCTGAGCATCCCCACCAGCTGGATCACTGTGAACTGCCCATCGTTTTGCTGCAGTCAGAAAGAGCAGGCAGTAGGGTGAGCATACAGATCCCAGAGCTGCTCACCCCAACCTTGGGAGGATGCTGCACCTCCACAGAGGACTATCTACCTGCCCTGCCTGATTAAAGCAGAGATATCCCAGCATCTTACCCGCAGGAAGGAGTCCAGGGCCCCATTCTCCATGAACTCTGTGATGATCATGACCGGTCGGCTTTTGGTCACCACCCCTTCCAGCCGAATGATGTTGGGGTGGTCAAACTGCCCCATGATGCTGGCCTCGCTCAGGAAATCCCGGCGCTGCTTCTCAGAGTAGCCAGCTTTCAGTGTTTTGATGGCCACGTAGATCTCCCGCTTGCCGGGCAGCTTCAGGCGTCCCTTATACACTTCTCCAAACTCCCCTGTAAGTGCAAGACCATCTGCTACCACCTGCTCATCCACAAACAACATTGCAAAGTGTAATGGTACCTTGAGCTGCTTGGTCTCCAAACCAACTGGATGAGAAATTACCTTCAGCAATAGTCTCCTCTATAAATCTGCTCACCTGTCCTCTTCAAAAGGGGCAATGTTTGTTGCTGAGGATGCAATTAGGCTTGCAACCTTCTCCAAGGTGACAGAGTCCAGCACCGACAGAAGCAGAGGCTGGGACTTCTCTTGCAAACCCCCTAATAAGGATTTGCAGAGCAAGAGCAACAACATTTAAGGACTACCTCAAGTCAGCATCAGATGTCAGCATTGATAATCTCAGTTGCCTTTTTGCACATCGCTTATCTTGGAAAAAAATTGGGTTGTTTGCACTGCTGCCTTCTGATTTAAAATACAGAGAAAACCTCATTTTCAGCAGAAGAGCTTTTCCTTCACCAAGGCAAAATTTGCCTGTGGAGGGATTACATTTAAGCCAGGTTTGCAGCCACTTTGCCTTGATGAGCAGCAAAGGGCAGCTGATACATCGCTGAACTTGATCCTGATCAAACTAGCTCATTGCTTCTTTGTAACTTCCCCCTGGCTTCTCACTTTTTCTTCTACAAGTATGACACGCTAATTTAAAAATGGCAATAAAACCAGCACAGATGACATACAGATACGTGCACGCATGTGTATATATACATATGTATGGAAATATGGCACAGATCAGAGTGAGATCTGGCTTTTTCTTGTTACCTCATGGAGAAGCCAAATGGGAAATCCCAAGAGGTCCCACTGTCACCCAGTGAATATGTTCATGGAGCCTTTGCCACCTCATAGGAACTTTTAAAGCACAAACCAACTTTATGTCCACCCTAATTCATCAAAAATCCTATGTCTTGATGCTTCCTGGTCTAGTGGGCAGGTCCCTGAGGACTGGAGGTTGGCCAACATGAAGCCTCTCTATAAAAAGGGCATGAAGGATGACCCAGAAACCACAGGCCTGGGAAGGTCATGGAGTAGATCATCCTAAGCGAAATCATAAAACACATGCGGGAAAACAGAGGGATCAGGCCTAGTCGGCATGGGTTCATGAAGGGAAAGTACTGCTTGACCTACCTGATCTCCTTCTACGGTAAGGTGACCCGCCTGGTTGATAAGGGAAAGGCTGTGGATATTATTTGGACTTAAGTAAAGCATTTGACACTGTCTCCCACAGTGTTCTCCTGGAGAAACTGGCTGCTCATGGACTGGATAGGTGTATTCTTCACTGGGTTAGAAACTGGCTGGATAGCTGAGCCCAAAGAGTGGTGGTAAATGGTATCACATCTAGTTGGTGACCAGTCACTAGTGGTGTCCCTCAGGGCTTGGTCCTAGGGCCAGTGTTGTTTAACAACTTCACTGATGATCTGGATGAGGGGATCAAGTGCACCCTCAGTAATTCTGTGGATGCCACGAAGTTGGCTGGGAGTGTTGATCTGCTGGAGGATAGGGAGGCTCTGCACAGTCTGGATTGATGGGCTGTGGCCAATGGGATGAGGTTCAGCAAGGTAAAACGCCGGGTCCTGCATTTGGGCCACAACAACCCCCTGGAATGCTACATGCTTAGGGAAAAGTGGCTGGAAAGCAAAAAAGGCCCGGGGGGTGCTGATCAGGGGCTGCTGAACACAATCCAGCTTGTGCCCAGGCAGCCAAGAAGGCCAACAGCATCCTGGCCTGTATCTGCAACGTGTGGCCAGCAGGGCCAGGGCAGTGATCATCCCCCTGCACTGGGCACTGGTGAGGCTGCACCTCAAATCCTTTGTTCAGTTCTGGGCCCCTCACTACAAAAGAGACATTGAGGTGCTGGAGCAGGTCCAGAGAAGGGCAATGAAGCTGGTGAAGGGTCTGGAGCACAAGTGTGATGGGGAATGGCTGAGGGGACTGGGGTGGTTTAGACTGAAGAAGAAAAGGCTCAGGGGGGGACCTTATTGCACTCTACAACTACCTGACAGGAGGTTGTAGTGAGGTGGGTGTAGGTCTCTTCTCCCAAGTAACAAGTGATAGGACAAGAGGTAACAGCCTCAAGCTGTACCAGGGGAGGTTTAGATTGGACATTAGGAAAAATTTCTTCATTAAAAGGTGTGCTCAGGCATTGGAACAGGCTGCCCAGGGCAGCGGTGGAATCACCATCCCTGTAAGTGTTCACAAACCATGTAGATGAGGCCCTTAGTGACATGGTTTAGAGGGTGGTCTTGGCAGTCCTGGGGTAATGGTTGGACTTAATAATCTTAAAGGTCCTTTCCAACCTAGTTGATTCTATGATTCCTTGAGGATTTCCCAGTGAAAGACCACATGTACACCCCTGAAAATTGCTCCAAGTGGGTGTCTGGCCATGCAGGAGCAGTGGAGAGGACAGGGAGGGATGAGTGGCAGGGGATGGTGAGACCCACCTGCTCCAATGACTTCTTCAATCTTGACGAAGGATACATCGATCTCCTTGGCAAACTCTCGGACCGCCTCGTTGGGATCCTCGTAGGTGAAGGGGTCGATATAGATCTTCATTCCTGGAGACCCTTGTTGCAGGAAATATGGCAGCAGAGCAAAAGGAGAGAAAACAAGAGCAGCTGTGCCATGGCCAAGAACTGGAGACCCCCATGTTCTCACACCCTCTGTACGCCCATTAAGATGGCTGCTATCACCGTCCTCACATGCACCACCTCCACAGATCCTTGTCCAATTTGATCTCCCTTGTTCCACGTGACCCTCCCCTGCATTCCCTCTTCTCCTCCTCTGTCTCTGTTCCTCCACTGTTATTCTTCCTCTTCGTCCTCCCTGGCAATGGGGAGCAGTTACAGACTTGAACTACAATTAGCTGCCTTTACAGTGAGGGCTTTATGAGGCTCTATGCGTTAGTGAAGAAATATTTATTTACCTAAAAAGGCCTCTGATAGCTTTGTGGCGGCTACTAAATTGACAGAGTGTAGCAATTATAATCAACAACCTGAATGGAGCCATAAAATACAGCTTGGCCAGCCTCCGTGACAAGTATGCGGTCCCTTGCACAGGGGCAATGCACACAGCAGGATCCGACCACGCTGCAGGGAGATGCAGCAAGTGGGATCTTGCCCTTTTCAAATGGGGGAGAAACCAACACAGGCCTTCAGATGCCCCAGATGGTGTTAGCAGACATCATGTCTGGATGCCCTGGGGCTTACAGAGCTGCAAGGGGGCACAGCCACAGGTCAGAGCATGACCATGGCCATCCCTGGGCCTTAGTAGGGCACTGGTGTTGTACCACTGTACCCCCAAAAGGGACCCAGAATGGGCTGTGGTCTCCCTGTGGGGGTTCAGCCTCCTGTGCCATTTCTTATCCAAAAATGGACGGGGGATGGTGTAGCAGCCCCTCAAGGTCAACTCTGGAGGAGACCAGGAGGGACATCGCTGCCTGGTTCTCCTTCCTTGCTCTTACTGTGATTTACAGTGTTTGATTATGCTGTTAAGGACCTCAGCAAGGACCACAATCCTGACACACTGGTGCTTCCTGAACCCCCTCGGGAGCCAACCACAGATGAATGTATGGACCACAATGTTGCCCCTGTGCACTGCCACAGCGGGAATCCAAATCAACTCCCAGACTCTGCAAGTTTGCCAGCAAGTAATCCGGGACAAGGCATGAAAACCTCACGGAGGGGCACTACTGGTGCAAAACAGCCACTGAGGAAGAACTGCTTGCAGGGCACCCGGGACTCAAGAGGGACAGGGTAGGAGCATCCTCATGCCAAAAAGGGCCATCTGGGGCAAAAGCTCTGTACCTTGGAGGCAGGCAGAGAAGGCTGCAATGAAGCCATCTGTGCATCTCCCACTTCATAAATCCCTTTACGGCTCTGTCTCATACACTTTAACTGCCCCATAAATTTTTTTACAAGAGCAGCTGATGCTCCAGCCAGGATTACAAAGGGATTTACAGGATCGTAACCAAGACCGACTCACTGATCAAAATATTGAAGAAATAAAGGAGACGATAATGCTGAAGTTTCCTGCCCACCATCAGCACAGGCTGGTTTTCAAACACCCTCTGATGTGCCCCGGGGTCTGCCTGCGGGCTCAGTGAACACCAGGTTTAGCTCCCCACCTAATCCCCATCCCAGCCAAATGAGTAGAATTAGGGCACCTAAACCCATTACTCATCTCTGCAAACCTCAGCCACCAGCTCATCATCACCATGCTGGCAAAACATGGGCAAAATGCCAGGTACCAGAGCACAACACCAAAGGCAACCCATGCTGAGCCTGCCTGCAAAGAAAGCTTTGTGCTCCTAAAATCACCCCAATACTCCTAGAAACTGGATTAGGCCATTTATCTCTACTGCAGATGACGGCAAACCTTTTATCACTCTGAAAGCTTAAACGCTCTGCCCCACAACCCTGACTCCACCATTAGATTCTTTCAGACATCATTTTTCCTTGGGAATAAATATCGCCAGGACAGAGAAAAACCCTTTCCCACTGAATCACCACCACTCCAACAGGGCGCTTTCCCTATCTCCCCTATCTCAAGGCTCCTGGCGAAGCAGTGGCAGAGATAAAGGCATGAGAAATGACAACCTGAGAGATCCCATCTCACCCCAGAACCAAGCCGGGGCAGTCCTTGTCAGCCGGCAATCCTGGGGTGCTCCTGGAGGGACAGTGGAGCTGCAACTGCTGTGCTGCTGCTAAACACATGGGTAATTTGTTCCGATAGATGCACTTGTTACTCCATTAGTTGCTGGCCACAAATTTCCCACCTGTTTTGCTCTAGCATCTGCAATAACCAAGCGCCTGGAGGCTCACTAACCTTGAAAGGGTTTTGCTGTGTATCTGGGAGCCCCAGCAACCTAGCTTCCTGACACCAATCCTCACATCGCCTTTGAAACTACAGACACATGCTTCATTCCTTTCCTACCTGGTTAGAGCACCCTGGCTTTTGGGGTGCTTGGGGTGAGCTATGGACACAGCCAGGGTGTGGATGTTTCAAAACAGGAGGAGAAATGGGAAAAGTAAGTCCGCCTGCACCCCAACACAGGTTTACCCATTAGGCTTCCCTGATACACACGGTGCAGAAACATGGAGAAAAGAGGGAGGAAAAGCACAGGTCCACTGTATTTAAGTATCACCCAGTGATGTTTGGAAAACAGTTTATTGTTTGCTGGGAGGCTTAAGTCCCCTACAGCCCTGCCATCATTGCTATGAAGGTCAAGAGGTCTAGTGTGCTGTTGCTGACTTGGCTTGGCTCTCCTGGCTGCCTCCAAACTCCTTCCATCCTTGTCAGCACTCCTATTTTTCTCTGCTCCATCTCCATCCCTCCCACCCTTCCCCATCCTGCTCACCCATCTTACTCCCACCCTTCCCCAGCCATCCTTCACCCATCCCTGCATCCCACCACCATCCCTTTCCCCCAGGCAAGTGCCCAGGACCCAGGGATGGTTTCTTCCCACAAGGCAGAAAACTCCATGTGGGAGATATCTCTAGGAGAGCATAAATGGGATTTACATTCCATGGGCATGTGGCATGGAGCCTGCAAGCACTGGCTAGCAACTCCTCACCCCATGAAGCTGATGCTTTATTATCATTTCCAGCCACCACAATGGCCTGCTAGCTGCTGGAGAGGCACCTGAGCAGACATTATACACAACAGTGGAAGGAGCAGCCCAATGCTGATCCTGGCCCACGCAGAGCCTGTGGCAGGAAACCAGGAGTTCATCCTCCCTCTGAACACCGCTTCTCTCCTTCCCCTCTTTCTCCTGTGGGAGTCTTCACAGGATCCTCTCCCCATCCCTTGTCCTCCTACATGTCCCCTGCACCTTACATCCCAAATCCATCCTCTCCCCCCAAATCCACCCTCATCCCCCAAATC